AACAGCATCTCAGAACTATTGAAACCAACTGAGCAGAACCTTCGGAGTGTGCTCCACATTGGGGAGCTTGGGATGACACGGGGTGGGCGTCTCCTATTTCTGTGTACTGGTGCTGTTGGCAGCTGTGGGGAGCCGTGCAGTTGGGTCGGATGGCATGGGTGTGTGATGAACACCTCTCCTCAGTTAGCAAGGCTGCGAGGAGTTTCTAGCTGCGTGGCAAGGCCCGGCAGAATGTCTCTGGTCACCTCATTGCTGCCTCACCCATTGTATGGAACTCAATCACCTCTCTGATGTTTCATAGAATTCTTCTGAGGGTGTTGTTGTTGTTTTTCTGCTAATGTGAAGTGATTCCTGTAACTGGTGTGACACCTCAAATTGATCTATCATGTTATGATAAAAACACCTGTAGTAACGTAAGGCTATGACACACAGTTGAAAGTATACAATAATACAATTGAGCCCACTATGTTTCCAAACATCCTGCTATGTGCCCACTTTTGTCCTAAAGTTTGCCCTAATATAAGTAATGTTTTCCTTAAGAAATGGCTTGATAATATCTTGCAACAGATGGCAATCATGGAGGTACAAAGAGTTTGTTTACCATGCACCTCGAACTGTTACAACACATGATATGACGCATTTTAGTTTCTTACCACAGAAAAGAAAAGTATATGGGGCATCTTTTATAAGGAAATAAATGTGAACCCCGTCAAATTGGCTTAAAATCTCAATCTTATATTGGCACTTATATTTAGGGAAAGAAAACAGTTTATAAAAATCTTTATCTTATATTGGCACTTATATTTAGGGAAAGAAAATAGTTTAAAGGAAGTTTCTTGTAAGAGGCCCTCTGTTTGTAGATTAGCTGAATTGCCTTGATCCCTTTCACTGCCCTTTAACAAAAGAACAAAAAACAATTGAATCAGCACTAGGTGAGATGACCGTAATTAATGCATGATTTGATTATAAGATTTAGCAAATAATCTATGTTATATGCTTTTATAAAATCCTTTCATTTATGATCTTTTAATTCTGTATTGTTAATATTTTAATCAATATTAGTTTGTGTTTAGTAAACATTGATTTTGAGTATAAGTAAACTACTTGTCACTATGTAACTGCATGTGCTGCCAACCGTGGAGTTCCTGGCTTCAGCCAGGTGATTGCAGGTTTCAATCAGTAATGGTTTGCTAAGAATGTTTTCTTTGAAATAGAAAAGTATTTTTTAGGATTGCTTCTTGCATTTTCATAACCATGATGTAAGGAAAAATGAAACAATTGGATATGGTGCAAAAGCTTGTGATGATTTATGTATAAATAAAGAAGGCAACTTTTCTGAGTTGTCCAGTATGAGCATCAAGTCATAGTGGTCCGTGTCTTAGCTCTTCCTATCATTTCGCCGATCCACGCATCCTTTGCAAGCTCTCAGTCAGCTGGAGCTGGTCTCCGGCAGGCAGCCTTCTCCCCTTACCTCCCCACTTCCCCCCGATACAGAAAGGAAAAAGTAGATTGGAAGCAGTGGTCTCACGCATTTTCCCTCATTCCTCAGCCCTCCCCACCCTAATCTAATCGGCGGTCCACATGGGCATGCATCCTTCTCAATTACATAAATATCATCCAAAGTAAAATAAACTCATTACAAAAAGAAAGAACTTCTTTCTTTTTAAAATGGTTTATCTATTTTTATTGGAAAGGCAGATTTACAGACAGGAGAGACAGGGAAAGATCTTTCATCTGCTGGCTAATTGCCCTGACAGTCACAACTACTGGAGCTGACCTGATGTGAAGCCAGGAGCCAGAAGCTTCTTCCTGGTATCCCACATGGGTGCAGGGGCAGGGCCCAAGGTTTCTGTGCTTTCCCAGACTGTAAGAAGGAAGCTGAATAGCAAATGGGGCAGCCAAGACACTGACTAGAACCCATATGAGATGCTGGTGCTCACAGGCAGAAGATTAGCCAGTTGAATCATTGCACCAACCCTGAAGAACTTACTTTATTTATTTATTCATGTTGGAAAGTCAGATATACAGAGAGGAGGAGAGAAACAGAGAGGAAGATTTTCCATCTGCTGGTTCACTTCCCAAGTAGCTACACCAATCTGAAGCCAGGAGCTTCTTCTGGGTCTCCCACGTGAGTGCAGGGTCCCAAGGCTTTGGGCCGTCCTCGACTGCTTTCCCAGCCACAAGCAGGGAGCTGGATGGGAAGTGGAGCAGCCGGGATACAAACTGGCACCCATAAGTACTCCTCACCAAGGTGCCGAAGATTTCTCTGCTCACCCCTCCTATAACGGTCATGTACCTCATATGGGGAAATGTCAGTGTTATGTTGGGGCTTTTGATTGATTGGGTTTTTTACTCTGTTGGCTCTACCTTCAGTCCAGAGAAGGTCTCTCCAAAAAGCCGTTGAACTTATCTGGGCAATAATATGAGGGTCACAATGCTTGGTATATGCTTGCAATAAAGGAATCTCAACTGAACTTGAACTGTGTCACACAACACGGTGGAGGAATCCACCATGGGGGGGGAGGTTAAGGGAGGGGTGGTGGGAATCCCAGTACCTATAAAACTGTGTCACATAATAAACAAATAAAAAAAGGGGGAAAAAAAAAAACAAAACTGGCACCGATATGGGATCCTGGTGCTAGCAAGATGGGGATTGAGCCATCACACTGTTCCCTGCCCTGGATTTAATTCTTTTCTACATTGTATTATGAAATTATAACATCTTGTGTCCCATGAAGAGATAAAACTGCAATTTGTCAGAATGTTTTGTTCCCCCATCCATATTGCTGTGGCACAGTAGGTAAAGCTGCCACTTGCAGTGCTGACATCCCAGTTAAAGACCCAGCTGCTCCACTTCTGATCCAGCTCCTTGCAAATATGCCTGGGAAAACAGTGAAGGATGGGCCAAGTCCTTGGGCCCCTGCATCCATGTGGGAGACCTGGAAGAAGCTGCTGGCTCCTGGCTTTGACCTGGCCCAGCCCTGGATGTTGCAGCCATTTGGGAATGAAGCAGTAGATGGAGGACCTCTCTCTAACTCTGCCTTTCAAATAAGTAAAAATAAATCATATATACACACATATATACATACATGTGCACACACATATGTGTATATATACATCTATTATTTGCAGAAGGTACCTGAGGATTAGGCAGGCAGAGGAAATGGCCAAAGAGGGGGTTCCAAAGTGTGCAAGCATGGGGCTTGTTGCACACACATGGAGACTGGGCAGTCCACGCAGCAGATGGAGAGGCACCTGCTGGACTTCAGAGCTCCCCCTTGATGATCTGGGACAGGCTCCTGGAGAGCTGTGGGGAGCCCCAGCGGGGTGAAATCCGGACAGGGTCAGCCTCTACAGGAAGCCCTGCCCTCTGTGCCTGCACCCTTTGCCGGGAGCGCAGGGTCAGGCCCCGGCACAGCCTCCTGAGCAGCTGGGGTGTCTGCTCCTGGGAAAGCCACGTTTGGACTTGATGAGCTTGTGGGTTTTTTGTTTTGTTTTGCTTTTAGATTTATTTTGAAAGTTGGGGCAGGGAGGGGTGGAGAGTGATTGTCCTTCTGCTGGTTCGTACCCCAGACGGCCACAACAGCCAGTGCTGGGTCAGGCTGAAGCCAGGAAATTGCACGTGGGCCGTCCTCCGCTGTTTTCCTAGGCCATTAGCAGGGAACCAGATGGGAAATGGAGCAGCTGGGGCATGAACTGGTGCCCACATGGGATTCCGGTGTCACAGGAGGCAGATTTACCGGCTATGCCACCACGCCGGCCCCTGCCTTCCTCAGCCCCATCTGGGATTTCCTCAGTTCCCTTAAACTCCTTCCTTCCTGTTTCCTCGCTCCTGGCCGGGAACACCTTTCAGGAAAACGAGCTCCTCTGCTTGGGGTCTCCTCACCAGACCCCAAGCTCCCAGCACACAGCACCATGCGCAATGCCCCTGCACCCGCCTCCCACAGAGGGTTGATGCAGAGTTCAGTGAACTCTCAGGAGCAGGGACGAGAGGGGCCTCACAGCCCTCCTAAGATGAGAACCGTCTCGAGGACCTCTCCCAAAAGTTTCCCCCCAGAAAATCCTCCTCATGCCTCACGTTCTTCACAACACACACGTAGGCACACATTTATGCAGAATTTAACATGCCTTAAAGTGGCGTTGGGAGCAGACGCTGTTCCAGCAACAGTGTCTCCACCAATGAGCTGAAGCCAACGGCCGCCAGCGGGCTCCAGGCTGCGCACCCCAGGTGCTCCCTGCAGGCTGCGCACCCCAGGTGCTCCCTGCAGGCTGCGCACCCCAGGTGCTCCCTGCAGGCTGCGCACCCCAGGTGCTCCCTGCAGGCTGCGCACCCCAGGTGCTCCCTGCAGGCTGCGCACCCCAGGTGCTCCCTGCAGGCTGCGCACCCCAGGTGCTCCCTGCAGAGCTCCAGCGCCCCTCCCCATTCCCCAGTGCAAGCACCTGGCGGCTTCCCACCACGCGCATTCCTGATTACCATCCTTTTGCTCACGCCTGAATAAATCCTTTATACTTGAGGATATTTTTCTCTCTCTCTCTGCTGTTTATTTCCACCTTGGACTTCCTCTTTAGTATAAAGTAGCCTGAGCACGAATGATGTTAGCAGCCAGGAACCTAGGCCAACTTCTTGGGTTCAAGTTCGCTCTCTGTTTTCCAGGTTGGCACGCCGCTCAATCTCTGAACTCCTACCATGAGGACAGCAGCTACTCAGGAGGGCTTCAGGGAGCCCGTACAAAGGGCCCGAAGTTCCCGGTTTAAACCTCCGGACACCGCCGATCCTCCGCTCCCCTCACCCCCGCGCGCGCTCTCCCACGTGCCTCGCGTAAATAAGCCTGCGCGCAGGCGCCCCTGGCCAGCGCCCATTGGCCGGTGCCCGTCACCCTCGGAGCAGGTGGGAGCGACGCGGGCCCCACTACCAGCAGCCGCGGGTGCAGCCCCCGGGTCGGTTGGTCCGCACATCTGTGGGTCGGTGCGTCCTGACCCGCCCGCTCTTCGCCCTCACCATGGCGCCCTGGCTGCAGCTGCTGTGGCCGCTGTGGCTGCTGTGGCTGCTGCCCAGCGCCGTGCCCGCCCCTGCCCAGCCCCGAGCAGTGGGCGCTCGGGCCTGGGGGCCGCCGGACCCAGAGCTGCTGGGAGCCGCCCGCTTCGCCCTCAAGATGTACAACCACGGCCGGGCTGCGGGCGCGCAGGCCGTGCTGGGGGCCGTTCGCGGGCGCGTCCGCCGGGTAAGGCTGCTGGGCCGCGGCCCCGGGAAGGGGGTTTTGGCTTGGACTGGTGGAGAGGGGGGGGGGCGGTATATTGAGGGGTAGGAGAGGGAGTGGACGGCGTAGAGAGGGCTCTCGGGGGTCGGGAACCGGGAGGGCAGGCACCGCGGGGAGGGAAGGAGTGCGTCCCTGTCCGCCTCACCTGCCCCTCTACCCAGGAGGGTCAGGGGTCGCTCTACACCCTGGAGGCCACCCTGGAGGAGCCGCAATGTCATGAACCCATGGTGTGCCAACTCCCTGTGTCCAGGAAGACCCTGGTGAGTGCTGGGGCTTCTGTGGTTCCCCACCCCTGGGGTGAGTCGGGCATCCCAGTCCCCACTGGCTGCTTGCTGGTCATCGTGCCCCTGCTAATGCACTGGGGGGAACAGCCATGGGTGACCACAGAACTTGGCTTCCTGCACCCTGATGGAACTCCTGGCTTTTGGTTTTGGTCTGTCCGACCCAGCCTTGGCTTTTGTTTCTGTGAGGAGTGAGCCAGCAGACGAGAGAGATCTTTTTTCTCTATGTCTCTGTCTGCCTTTCAGATAAATAAGTCTTTTTGAAAAGCAGGTGGGGGTGGGATCTTTGATGTCAGCAGTCACTCCATCTTGAGTCACCTCCCAGGTCCTGAGGGCAAATGTTGTAAAAGGGAGGCTGCCTGGGTGCTGCTGGGTGCTGCTGGGTGCTGACTGGTGCTGACTGGTAGCAAGCATGACTGGATGCTGCTGGGGGCCTGCTGGGAGCCTGCTGGGAGCTGGCTGGGATTGTCTGGGAGCTAACGCAAGGCTGCCTGGGTGCTGCCGGGGGCTGTGGGGCCTCCCGCCACAGCTGTTTCTCCCTGCAGCTCTGCAGCTTCCAGGTCCTGGACGAGCTGGGGAAACACATGCTGCTGAGGCGGGACTGTGGTCCGGTGGAAACAAGAGTGACAGGTGCCGGGCTCCCCTGCGGGTGCTGGGAGGGTCTCCCCAGATCTCTCCAGGACCTCACTCAGTTCGGCCATGGTTTCTGTTCCAACCTTTTTCAGATGACGGAAATGAGACTTTGACATATGTGCTCCCGGGGTTGGGCAGGAATTCCTCGTCCCAGGTGAGGGGGCCGGTCCTTGCGGTAGGCACCTGTGGCCTTACTCCCCTCGGTATCCCCACGTCCAGCTGAACTCGTTGGAGAGATGCTTCTGCCTTCCCAGGACTTTACTGTGAAGATGGCGTCAATCTTCCAGAAGTTTATGCACACCTATAACCGGACTTACGAGTCGAAGGAAGGTGAGGAGCCCCGTCCCTGCCTTGGCTGTGCCTGTCCCACCATCAGGTCAGCTGGCACTGGATGAAGGAAAGGACATGAAAGGCAGGACGGCCCTTTGAGGAGCCCCTCTCCTGAAAGTTCCCCGCCCCCCCAGTTCTTGTGGGACTGAGCAGGTATGCCAAGCAGCTGGTGAGCCTGCCAGCTGACAGACACTGCGGGCGGGGTGAGGTGGGGGTGGAGGCAGGTGCGCTGTGTGGGAGGCCCCACACCAGGTGCTTTTCCCTCCCCCCGAGGCGCTGCTGGTTGATGTCTTCTGGACTCCACTTTGGTTACTGCTTTCTGCCACCCCTCACCACAAAATGTTGTCACTCTAGCCTGACCCAGAGTCCATCCCGCCTCCCACCGCAACCCTTGCTGAGGTTTTCCTTCCGCTCCCGTCTGGCCCCCGCTCCCCAGAAGTCTGTTGTTGAAAAGAGCTTCGGGCCTGTCCCAGCATTCAGCTCCTCCCTCGTAGGGTGGAGGGGGGTCCCTGCCTGCTGGCCCCAGCCAGTCCCCCTCCTCTCCTGCTCTTTGTTCCTCAGAGGCCGAGTGGCGTCTGTCCGTCTTTGCCAGTAACCTGATGCGTGCGCAGAAGATCCAGGCCCTGGACCGGGGCACAGCTCAGTACGGCATCACCAAGTTCAGTGACCTCACAGGTAGGCGTCCTGGCCAGAGTCCTCGCGGAGCCAGGGAAGTGACGAGGCCTGCTCCCCAGGGGTGCCTGCTCCCCCTCCCATCAAGCACCCATCAGGGCGTCGACTTCTCCGCCTCCACACACCCCGCCCCCCACGCTTGCAGAGGAGGAATTCCGCACCATCTATCTGAACCCCCTCCTGCGGTCGGAGCCCGGCCAGAAGATGCACATGGCCAAGTCCGTGGAGGACCCCGCGCCCCCGGAGTGGGACTGGAGGAGTAAGGGGGCTGTTACCAAAGTCAAGGACCAGGTCGGCCCCCTAGGGGAGGGTGGGCGTACATGCCAGGCCCCATGATGGGGTATGGAGATGTGGGGTGTAGCCGTGTGGCCCTCACTCTTCCCATGCACCTCTCAGGGCATGTGTGGCTCCTGCTGGGCCTTCTCTGTCACAGGCAACGTGGAGGGCCAGTGGTTCCTGAAGCGGGGAACCCTGCTGTCCCTCTCGGAGCAGGGTGAGTGGCCCGTGCCCAGCCTCCTGCCTCTGCCCTCAGCCCAGCCCCTCCTGCGGAGGGCTCTTTGGGACTGGCCTTCTGTCTCTCAGAGCTCTTGGACTGTGACAAGGTGGACAAGGCCTGCCTGGGCGGATTGCCCTCCAACGCCTACTCGGCCATAAGGAACCTGGGTATGTGTGGGCGGGGCGGCAGGTGCTGCTGGCACTCTGTAGGGAGTCCTTTCGCGGGGTGGGGGAGAGGAGAGACACAACTGCAGTTGTGGGTTTTTGTTTCTTTGATTTTTTAAGATTTATTCATTTGAAAAGTGGAGTTAGATCTTCATCCACAAAGTTGCATCAGCTGGGACTAGAGCAGGCTGAAGTCTGGAACTCCGTCCGGGTCTCCTTCCTGGGGGGCAGGAGCCCAAGGATTTGGGCCTTTTTCTGTTGCCTTCCAGGCGCATGATCAGGGAGCTGGATGGGAAGTGGGATGCCAGCCACATCGGCAGTGGCCTAACCGTACCACGCCATGCCAGCTCCTGTATTCTGTCTCAGTGCTGACCTTCACTGACTGGAGACCTTGGGCAAGTCAGCTCTTTGAGGACCTCAGTTGTCTCAGCTGTGAAATGGGACTCATAGGAGTAACCTGAGTGCCCAGAATAGAAGTGTGTAGATGCTTCCTGGCTCAGAGCAGGCACTTGGGTGAGCACAGGGCTCTCGGCATCCCTGCCGTTGGGAAATCTGCCTGTAATGCTGCTAAAGGAAGTGGCCACATGCCTCACTCCTGAGGGGACGTGGGGACTGGTCCAGGAGCCTGGGAGGGCCCAGAGCAGACGAGGAGAGTGGGAGGGCAGGGGGACACAAGCAAGCCACGACCAGGAGGCTCAGTGAGGAGGAGGCAGAAGTCCCTGTGGAGTTTAGCCTCTGCCACCTCTCCTGCAGGTCCCCTTTCCTGTCTCCCAGCCTCAGTGATGCCAGCTGTGTAATGGGTCTATTCCTCAGAAAGGATGGCCCATGCCTGAGTCCCTGAACCACCACCACTGCTTCCTCTGCCTGCCCCTGAACCCCCATCCCTGTTCTGGACACAGGGGGGCTAGAGACGGAGGATGACTATACCTACCAGGGCCACATGCAGGCCTGCAGCTTCTCCGCGCAGAAGGCCAGGGTCTACATCAACGACTCCGTGGAGCTGAGCCGGAATGAGCAAAGTGAGCAGGGGACCGGGTGAGTCCCCGCCAGGGCGCGGGGCGGAGAGGTGTGGGTAGGGGCCAGCGGTGGTGCCGTGGACAGCGAGCCCACCGACACCTGCCCTCCTCCATCCCACCCAGGGCTGGCGGCCTGGTTGGCCAAGAGGGGCCCGATCTCTGTGGCCATCAATGCGTTTGGCATGCAGGTGAGAGCCTCCTGCTGCCTGTGTCTCCTGCTGACCCTCCCCCGACCCACCCTGGGAGACTGCCTCTCCGCCTCCTTCTGTCCCCACCCCCACAGTTCTACCGCCGTGGGATCGCCCACCCGCTGCGGCCCCTCTGTAGCCCCTGGCTCATCGACCACGCTGTGTTGTTGGTGGGCTATGGCAACCGTGAGTCCCGCTGCCGCCGACCCTGCCCCAGGCCACAGATGGGGGGACCCTAGCATCTCTAGGTCTCTATGGGGAGGGTGGGGGGGCAATGCTTGGGACTGCTGGCTCTCCATATGGAAAAGGTGAGGCTGTGATGGAGAAAGGGTGTCCTCCCCCATGCCCTGAAGCTGTGCCAGGTCTCCATGATGGGTGGGCTCCCGTCCCTGCACCTGTCACCCAGCGGCCCTGCTGCAGGTGTCTGCCAAGTGCTTTGAGGCCCTTGAACCCCCTGTGTCCTGCAGGGTCTGCCACGCCCTTCTGGGCCATCAAGAACAGCTGGGGCACCGACTGGGGTGAAGAGGTGAGTCTCGCCCGCGAGGCTCTTGTTTTGCCCCCTGGCCCCCACGCCCTCCCGCCTGAGCGCCCCCTCCTTGCCGCCTCCTCCACAGGGTTACTACTACTTGTACCGCGGGTCTGGGGTGTGCGGCGTGAACACCATGGCCAGCTCAGCGGTGGTGAACTAGGGAGCCTGCCCGCAGCACGGGACCTGACCACAGCTGCCCCCTCCCCGGCCAGATCTGCACGTCCGGGCCTCTCACCTGGGCGGGGTGGGAGCACAACTGGCTGAGGGACAGGCCCTGGGTGCCTCGGGGGCAGCAGAGGGCTGTGGGCAAGTGGCACTGCCCCACTCCTTTCCTGAGCCCACTTGCTGCCACTGCACCTTTGTTGAATTGTGGTAGGGAGGGTGGGCCAAAGGCCGAGGTCCTGGCAGCAGGGGCCAGGGCAGGGACCCTGGGCTCTGGTTGGAACAGGACAGAAGTACCCTGACTTCAAGTCCAGCCCTACCTTCAGCAGGTCCTGCCTGCCAGCCCCAGCCTTCCTCTGTTCCTGTGGATTCGTCCCCTCCCCCCTTACTAACAGCAATAAAGAGGCGTCCTGGAGGCCAGTGTGGTGTGAGTGCTGGGTCCTTGAAGCAGGTCACGGTGAGACAGCCAGGGTCCCACCCAGGAGCTCTCAGAGACCCCATGACCGGAAGGAGACAGGGAGAGGCCCTCAGATGGGTCTTTATTCAGAACTGCGCGGCTGGCCATTCCCGGAAGTCCTTGCTCCCACAGACAGATGGGATCAGCCCCAGGAAGCTGATCTTCCTGCCTTGGGTCAGGAACGCCCCAGGGGTGGAAGTCAGAGGTCGCTCTCCCCGTAGAGGGCGCTGGAGAAGGCCACATAGTCCAGGGCCCCAGCAGGTGCCCCAGCACCCTTGTAGGGGGTCATGCGATGAATGCAGTACTCAGCCTGCTCGGCCGGCAGCTCCCGCCGCAGCTCCTCGGGGGTGATATAGTTCTGGAGGAGTGGGAGCAGGTGGTGAGACTCCCGGGTCCTCTGCGCTGACCCCAACCTGCCACCGCAGCCCCATGCTCCTGGGCCCACACTCACCTTGTCACCTGCCAGGATCTTGAAGGAGGCCACTACCTGCTCAGCCGTGTCTGTCTCGGCTGTCTCCCGGGTCATGAAGTCGATGAAGGCCTGGAAGGTGACGACCCCGGCCGCATTGGGGTCTACCATGGTCATGATACGTGCGAACTCCACTTCTCCCTGCAGTCACAGAGATGGGGCATCATGCCCACAGTGGGTGCTGAGGCCAGGCAGGCTCCTGGGGTCCCCTCCGAGGACAGCCCTGGCACCACAGGTAGCCCTCTCTCCTGGAAACTGTGGGTGCTAGGTGCAAATCTGCCTGCTGCCTGGCAGAGGCCTTGGTGGGTGGTTGACCCTGATTTCTCTGTGAGGTGATGTTTCCAAGATGTAAGAACACTGTTGCAAGCTCAGACTTGGGGGGTTGGTGTTGCTCAGTCCTTGCTGAGCCTGGATGGCTCCATGCAGCTGTGGAGGAGCGGCCGGCCATGTGTGGAGGTGGGAGACCGCAGGAGGACTCACCAGGTCGTAGCCCATGGAGATGAGGCAGGCACGGAAGTCATCGGGCTCCATCATGCCGTTCCGCTTCTGTCCAGGGTTGGTGGGGTGAGTGGGTGTCAGGCAGGTCCGCCCCAAAACCCTGCCAGTCGCTCCCACTCCCCCACCCCTCCCTATGGGCTGGGGCCCCTGCTAACCCGATCAAAGTGGTTGAAAGAGGCCCGGAACTCGTTGAGCTGCTCCTGGCTCAGGCCCTTGGCATCTCGAGTCAGTACCTGGTTCTCCACCTCGTTGATGGTACGGGCGATGGAGGTGAGAAGCTGTTCCCAGCCCACACGGATGTGCTGCAGGGTGAGAGCCAGGCCAGTGAGAGGGCGGCTAGCACCAGGCCACCAGGCAAGCACCACCCCACAAACCACCGTGTGTGTGTCAGAGAAACAGACACACGCACACCCTGGGCTAATTCTCCTCTTCAGGTTGGGTCCCTGTCCCAGCTGGACATTCCACTGTCCCTCCTGCCCTGTAGTCCTCCCCTCCTTCAAGTCTGACAGTGTGTCATTTGCTAAGGGTTGGTTAATCAGCTGTGGCCAGTTCTCATCCCAGCTTTAGGAACTACTTAGTGGACGGGGTCACTTGGTGTTGCCGGTTCCCAGGGTCTTCTTGGGTACATAGCAAGGTGGTGAGGCGCGCCACCTGCTGCCTCCATGCCCGTCCCGAGGGCAGCAGGTGCACACACCTCCATGCTGTAGACGGTATGCTTGTTGTCAAACACCAGGCTCTCTTGCAGCAGCTGGTGGTCGCCCTCCAGCCGGTCGATGTTGCTCTTGTAGTTGATGATGTTCTGTTCCTGCTGCCGCAGCCCGGCCATCTGCTCTTCCAGTGAGCCCGCCAGCCCCGCCGCCAGCCGCCCCACCTCCTGCAGGGGTGGCACGGGAAGGGAGGAAGGCGAGGGCTCCTGGGCCCTCATCCCCCACCGTCTCCTCCCCAACCCCTCCCCTGCAACCTGACTTGGCCCCTACCTCCACCTTTGCCTGGATCCAGGGCCCCACAGCGTTGGCCTGGGCCGCAAACTGTCGCCGGAGTCTTTCGTTCACCTGCTGCCGTGCCAGCTCCTCCTGTAGAGTCTGGTCGCGGCTGGGCACCAGCTTCCGGACCTGGGTGGGTGGGGAAGGAGAGCGCTCATGCCAGGGCCGGCTAGCTCTGGAACCTAGAAGATGACGTGGGGGAAGAGATGGGCTCTGTGGCTCCATCCAGTGTCAGACGTAGCTGCTACAGCTGCCTTGAGCTGCGTTGTGTTTGGGGCAAGTCACTCGAGCCCTGTAGACTCCTCTTATAACTGACACAGGTGGCCTTGCAGAACCTGCCCACATGCAGCCTGGGAAGCTGTCAGAACCACGATGTGGGTGAGGCCAGCGCAGGCAGCCCGTGGGAGTGGGGTGGGGGGGGGTGCCTGTGGCTGACCTCAGCCCTGAAGGTGAGCATCTCCGTTATCTCAGAACCCCCGAGTTTCTGGGTCCCTGACAGCACACTAGTGGAGGGTAGCAAGGGCCCAAGGCTACACTCACCATGTCCCACTTGTTGTTGATGTCCTGTGGGCTGAGGCTAATGTAGGGGTTGGTGGAGTTGGGCCGCAGCCCATATGTCTGGCAGATCTTCTGGATCTCACCCTGAATGCCCAGGATGGCGCCTCGCTCCCGGTCGGCCTCGGGCAATGTGGCTTTGAACTGCTCGTGTGCAGTTAGCAGGCTCTGGGGAGGGCACAGGAAGGAACAGTGGTCAGCAAAGGGGGCGGCAACCCCTGCGGGCAGGGCTGGCACAAGGCAGAGAATTCGGGTCCCTACTGCCCAGGAGCCCATCCAACCTCGCCTTGCACCCCCTCAGCACCTACCTGGGTCTCATCCACCGAGTGCACCAGCCACACGTCCTGCAGGTCCTCTATGGCACCGTCTAACCAGTTGTTGAAGGGTGCCGCCCGCCGGGCAAACTCCAGCTGCAGCTGATCGATGGTCTCTAGGAGTTTCTCCATGCGCTAGGGCAGGGGGCCAAGGTAGGGGTCAGCAGCCTGCCTGGCAGACCTGGACTCCAACCTCCCCAGCTTCCCTGCCCCGTGCCCCACCTCCAGTGCATCCCGCCTCTTCTGGGTCAGTGTGCCCAGGTTGTCCCACTGGTCACAGATGGCCTGGCAGCGGCTGTTCACGGAGGCGGCCTCGTGATAGTCCAGCTCACTGGAGGGTGGGGAAGAACGCGCCAGCTTGGGTGCCCAGAACCAGGCTTGATTGCCTCTGGACCACCCTCTGGGGGACTGGACCCTAGGCTCTAGCCAAAGGCCTAGGGAGCCGGGGCAGGTGGGTGGCCCAGTAGGCTGCTGCAGGAACCGGAGTGCCTGAGGTGCTCTCAGTGGGTCCCCATGGGGAGGGGGGAGGCTTGGTGAAGGGAGGGGACTCCATGGGTGGGGTTCTGAGAGAAGGGGCAGGTTCATTGGAGGTGGCCCGGTGTGGGGCGGGGCTCTGCACCAAGGGGCGGGTCGACCGCGGGCCCCGCCTACTTGAGCTCCTGGGCCAGCGCAGCGATGTGCTCCACGCGGTCCTGGTGCGCTGCCAGATCGCTCTCGAAGGCCTCGTGGCGCCGCAGCAGTGCCCGCACCTCCTGCAGTGACGCGGACTCGTAGTCGCGCTGGTTCAGCATGTCCTCTTTGCCTGCGTGGAGACCGGTCTGTGGGCTTGGGTCAGGAGCAGGAGGTACACTCTCGGTGGGTGGGGGATGACCCTGTGCCTTCTAGGCTGTCCTGGGCACCGGCTGGGAGTGACGTGACCAGTGACCTCATGCATCTGTGACTGTCCAAGCGTCCTGAGCCTCTGACTCGGTTTCCCCTGGCTCACCACGGTGAAGACAGGACAAAGTGCTTGTGCAGGATGGTTACCATATTTAAGCAATTAAAAAACCGACATCCTAAGAGCCACAGTGGTTAAGACACCTGCATCTGGAGGGAGTCCGGTTCCCAGCTCTGGTTCTCAGCTCCAGCTTCCTAAGGGTGCAGACCCCAGGAGGCGGTCAGCGATGGCCCAAGTAGTTGGGAATGAGTTCCAGCCTGTGGGGTTCTGAGTGAATTAGTGGATTGGGGCACTATGCCTCTCAAATTTTCAATGAAGAACAGTAGAGGCTGGTGCTGCCTGCTAGTATTGGCATCCCATGTAAACCACACAACTCCCAGCTGCTCCAGTTTCAAGCTAGTCCCCTGCTAATGGGCCTGAGGAAGCCCTGGAAGACAGGCCAGGTGCTTGGGCCCCTGCACCCATGCCGAGACACCCAGAAGGAGTCCCAGCTCCTAGCTTCAGCCTGGCCCAGCCCCCAGCCGTTGTGGCCGTTTGAGGAGTGCAACAACAGATGGAAGATCTCGGTTTCTCTAACTCTTTCAGATAAAAAATAAATCTTAAAAAAATGTTATACAGATATATGAAGTTCTTCAAAAATTTCAAGGGAAAATGTAATGGTAAGTTTATTTTGGTAATTCTGACATTCATGAATATAAAGGTCTTCAAAAAGTTAATGAAAGATTATGCAAAAACCATGCATGAGTTCTACCTTTTTTTTTCACTGTAATAAACATCTTTTAATT